AGGTCGCTTTGGTCCCAGGCCCCTGCAGCTAGCTGATTTAAAGAGGTTTATTTAATCCTACATTCCTAGGTTAGACTAAAAGCCTCTTATTTACACGAGGCTTGATAAATCGTGGCAGGTAACACAAGGTTCAAGACACAGCTATCCAGAGTCGGTCTCCAACAGTGTCAGTAAATGAAGTTGAATTATGTACACGCAGAATGATCCTGACCTTCATTGACTGCTCATGTGAATCTGAAGAATGGGCTACTTGGCTTTCATAACAATCAGTCCTTACCACATTTTGCCAACTTGCATGAAATCCTTCTTTTACACTTGTTTATGAGATGAACTCATTTAGTAGATTATCCACAGAAAGTATATCTGAATTTTGTGTTTGCCCCATTGCAGGAAAACAGAGTTTTCCCGTGTTGAACATAACTGTGTCATGCTGTCAGCTTCTGGCCTCATAAGAGATGACTGTACAGCTTTACATACATATCTTTGTAAGCGTAATTTCAACAACTAAAACACCTGTACTTGGAGTCTGCCAGGTAATGTTATATTTCATAACCTGAAAATAGAATTACAGTTGTGTACATCTTAAAGTGAATTTTTTTATTTGCACTAATAATGAATTTTTAAAAAATCATTGAAGTCTAGTAAACACAAAAAAGTACAAATATTGCTTTTGTATCTGAATCTTTTTGCTCAAGATATTCTTTATATTATTATATTTTACAACAGATTGCTTTATTTCTGCAGAAGCATTGTTAAATTTTGAATTTACCCTTCAATGTGCTGTCATAGGACTTTGTAGAATTGCTTTGCTGGAAGCTGAAGATTACAAATTGAGTTTTCTTAGTTCAATTAGGTTACTCATTTATTAACTACATTTCTGTATAGATGTACATAACCTTCTTCCTCCCCGCCAAGACCCTTCCTCCTCACATCCATTCCTCCTCCATTTCTATTCAGAAAAGGCAGATCTCCCTGGGATATCAACCAAACATGGCATATCAGGTTGAAATAACACTAGGCACCTTCCCTCATATTAAGGATGAATGAGGCAAGCAGTATGAAAAAAGGGTCCCAAAAGTAGACAAAAGTGTCAGAGTTCCACAATAAGTCCAAGCTACACAATTGTAACATATATGGGAAGGACATAGGTGAGTCCCATGCAGGCTTTCTGATTTTCCGTTCAGTCTCAGTGATCCCTTATGAGTCCAGGTTAATTGATTCTATGGTGGGTGTGTGTGTGTGTGTGTGTGTGTGTGTGTGTGTGTGTGTGTGTGTGTGTGTGTGTGATGTCCTTGATCACTCTGGCTCCTATAATTCTTCTTCCCCTTCTCCAGAATGATTCACCAAGTTCCGCCTAATATTTGGCTGTGAGTCTCTGCAACTCTTTCCATTAGTTGCTGGATGGGGGCTCTCTGATGTTGATTGTGACAGTCTATGAGTACAGCAGATTATTATTAAGAATAATTTCATTGACATTTTTTGCCATTCATGTTTGGTTCTATTTTACATATCTTATTTTTTGTTATTGTTTTTCTATATGAAGTTGAATGTTCTTCTTTCAAGGTCTGGAAAGAATTGTGTTGGAATTTTGATGAGGGTTACATTGAATCTGTAGCTTGCATTTTGTGAAGATGGTCATTTTTCTTATGTGAATCCTATTGATCCAAAGCATGGGAGATCTTTCCATTTTCTGATATCTTCAATTTCTTTCTTCAAAGACTTGAAATTCTTGTCATACAGTTCTTTCAATTACTTGGTTAAATTGACCACAAGGTATTTTATATTGTTTGAAGCTATTGTTAGGTGTTGTTTTCTTGATTTCCTTCAGGGCCCATCTGTCATTTGTGTATAGGAGAGCTACTGATTTTTTAAAGTTAATCTTGTATCCAGAGCCACTTCTCTGAAAGTGTTTATTAGCTGTAGGAGTTTCCTGCTAGAATTTCTGGGGTCACTTATGTGTACAATTATACCATTGCAAATAGTAGTACTTTGACTTCTTCCTTTCCATTTGTATCTCCTTGATCTCCTTCAGTTGTCTTACTGCTCTAACTAGAATTTCAACTACTACATTGAATACATATGGAGTGGATAGCCTTGTCTTATTCCTGATTTTAGCAGAATTGCTTTGAATTTCTCTCTATTCAATTTGTTGTTGGCTATCAGCTTGCTAAAAATTGCCTTTATTATATTTACAAATGACCCGTGTGTTCCTGATCTCTCCAAGATTTTTATCATGAAGGAGTGTGAGATTTTGTCAGAGATGCTTTTGGCATCTGATTAGATGATCGATCATGTAGGGTTTTTTTTTTCCTTTCAGTTTGTTTATATAGTAGATTACATTGACAGATTTTTGTATGTTGAACTATCCCTGCATCTCTGGGATGAGGCCTACTTGATCCTAGTGGATATTCTTTTTGATGTGTTCTTGGATTTAGTTTGCAAGTATTTTATTGAGTATTATTGCTTCCATGTTCGTGAGGGAAATTGGTTTGTAATTCTCTTTCTTTTATTGAGTCTTTTTGTGCTTTGGGTATCAGGGTGACTCTGTCCTCATAAAATGAATTTGGCAATGTTCCTGAAAATGATTTCTTAATATAGTTTCAATATCTTCGGTCTGCAAAATTTTTAATGAAAAAAATTTAAATATAGACATAAAATATTTACACTTTCTTTAATACTTTTTCAGGGGCCATCAATCAGTTTCATGTGTCTTTTGTTTCTTAATTTTGTTTTTAAATTCTCTTTCCCATTTATTTATGGGGTGTGTGTGTGTGTGTGTGTGTGTGTGTGTGTGTGTGTGTGTGCAAGCATGCACACCCATGCCATGCCATTGCACATGTACAGAAGAAGTCAGAGGAGAGTTTCCAGGCATTGGTTCTCTTTTTCTATCATGTGGGAGTCAGGGATCAAGCTCAGGTCAAAACGTTTGGTGGCAAACACGTTTACTTGCTGAACCATCTCACAACCCTTTGTTTTGTTTTGGAGACAGTGTCTCCCTGTGTAGCACAGACTGACATCAAACTGTCACCAATCATTCTGTCTCTTGACAGCAGAGGTTTACAGGCATGTGTCACCAAGCCTGGCTTTCTGTCTCTTCAATGAAAGTGACTTGGGTCCTTATTGACCATTTTTGTGGGAATTTTGTACTTGGTCATGATATTGTAAAGTTTATTGTTGTCTACTTTCTGTTTCATTTCTTGAGAATTTCAACTTGTTTTGCTTTTCTGATTGTAATTTTCTTATGGATTAATGTTCATATTAAAATCTCTCTTCTGTAATACTGCTTTTGAATAAATCAATTTTTTGTAAGAGAAATTTTCCTCTACTTTTTATAATTCATAATCCTGAAAGGCCATTATTATAATCTATTTGTCCCATCATTATTTAGAAATATGTTTCAGATTTAGAAACTACCTGCTTCAAATTTTTGGTCACTTACTGATTTTTTTCAAAAAAGTGAAAGGAATTTGCAATGATGTTGACACATGACTATGGATATGACTAGTATGACTGAAGAACTTACTCTATGTTATATTTATTTTTAAATTAATTTTAACTTAAATAGCTTTAGTTTGAATGTCCTATGCAAGCATAGCTAGGCTACTATAGCTACTGTGTAGACAGCTCAGCTTTAAATACTTTCTAATTATACAGTTGGAAATATTAATATAGTTCTGAGGAAATTTCCCATGTGGATCTAAGAACCTAAGCTTTGTGGGCTCACAAAGGTGAGTATGTGAGTGAATGCCTGTGTTGACTCTCCAGCTTAAGTATTTTCATCACCTCACAGATTCATCTCCTTGATGAGGTATGGTGCAGAAGTATCTAGGTCCCATTTGGGATTAACCCCCTATCTTCCCAGTCTATGTTTTACTATTTTTTCATTTATTTTTAGGTACACTGTAGTTACTGAAATATTATTAGTGGTTGTCATAGCAATTTTGGCATTATTAAACACTCTTCTTCATCTCCAATAATGGTTATTGTCATCTTATGATAGTACATTATTGGTTTTGGTTCAGTTTTCATTTTTTTACTTTCATATTTTATTTTGCTTATGTTGAGTTCCCTATTAATAGGAGAAAGTTGAAATACAAACCCATATTAATTTAAGTAGAATATTATTTAGCTTTTATTTAATGCATTATTAGATTACTATGATATTTATAAGTTGCTTGCATATACAATTAATTTTAATATTCATTTAATTTTGAACACTACGATCTCATGAACTCTACTTTTTCCGTTTTTTTTCTTTTCATAACATTTTCATTGATCATATGCTATTACATGGATTTGTTAATTTCACTTAAATTTGTTAATTTAACTTTAAATATTTTTTAATTTATGTCTCACATTTTACAGTATAATTCTTTATTCTTTAATATCTAATAAATTAGTAATTTTGCTCTTTTTCAAACAAACAAAAGTTTCAACAACTTTCTACTTTTGCTCACTGTTTAGTCTGTATTTTCTTTCTGAAATGCTATGATATACTTCTTGATGCTAACAAATTTTGAATTTGATATTTTGCCATCAATATTGCATTCATTTACTATCTATCTACCTAAGGACACCCTAATAATTCCTTCTACTCTTCCTTTTGTATGTCCAAGTCTGTTATTCACAGGAAGCAATTTTCTTTAGAAGAATTTCAAATGTTTCCTTTTGTCGCAGACAAGTGCTGACTCTATTTTTGCTAATTCATTCATTTTGCAATCATAGTGAAACATTCATTTACTTATATTTTACTTCCAAGTTATTCATCTTTAAGTGCCAACCTTACTTTAATAAAAGCCAAGGAAGAATTATTTTAACAGTACTATCCTGAGAGATGGGTAATTTGAAAAAATTCAACCATCCTTTTAATATTATTTTTTTAAAAGTTCCATATAGTTAAAAGGATAAATTGTAACTATTCTTACTATATTAAATCACTTATTTGCTTCTTATATTTTTTATATCATTTTCTAAACATAGATTTCACAGAATTACATGGCAAAAAAGTGAAAACTCATATCATTGCATATAATAAAAGTATGCTCTTACTCTCTCTCTCTCTCTCTCTCTATATATATATATATATATGATTTTATAATGTAAAACTTCAAGTCAGTGTCTATCCTAGTAATATATATATATATAACTATACCAAACAAGAAAAAAGAACATTAATAAATATGACATGGTTTATATTATTTGACATCTTTAAATCTTAAGTGTACTAATATGTAAGCAAAATGAATTCAACATGTATAGAGTACATATATGGAGTACTTAAAAATAAGATTCAATTTATAAAAATAAAGTGTAATTAATAGAAATATAGGGGGCATGTAGGTCCTTGTGGTCACAGATAAGTACTTGGAGAACCAGGAATGTTAAACTTGAAAGTGTTCTCTTCAAAGTGATAACCTGTTTTCCACACAGAAGGCTGGTGACTTTTTCAATGTCTGTGTAGCCAAAGCCACACTGGATCCTCCTCCTAATCCTCATCTTGAGCTTGTTTTCTTAGTTAATCCATAGAACCTATTTTTATTGAAAGATGTCTCTTGTCCTTTACAAAGCATTTAGATATAGGCATGTCTCTTTTTTTAATTGAAAGTAGATTCTTCTCTTATATAGTACATCCTGGCCACAGTTTCCCTTCTCTCCACTCCTCCTAGCTCCCTCTA